CGTCGGACAAGACCTTCTCATCTAAGATCTTCAGAAGACACTGGTTGTTTTATTTGGTCAGTCACCGTAGAGTTCAGTTTTGTTTTGTCCCTAGCCACAGCCTTTGTTTATTTATTTATTTTTTTGAGGAGTTGAATTTTTATGAGAAAGCTCCATGGTACTTGTTTTGCCCAGCTTTGTGACAAGCTCTTCTTCTTCTTCTTTTTTAAAGATCTATTTTATTTATTTGAAAGGCAGAGTTGCAGAGAGGCAGAGAGAGAGAGAGAGGTCTTCTATCCGCTGGTTCATTCCCCAAATGGCCACAGCAGCTGGAGCCATGCCGATCTGAAGCCAGGAGCTTCTTCTGGGTCTCCCCTGTGGGTGCAGGGGCCCAAGGACTTGGGCCATCCTCTACTGCTTTCCCAGGCCACTGCAGAGGGCTGGATCAGAAGTAGAGCAGCTGCGACTAGAACCGGCATCCATATGGGATGCTGGCACTGCAGGTGGCAGCTTTACCTGCTATGCCACAGTGCCAACCCCTTGTGAGAGTTCTTTAGCCGTGGCCTCTTCCAGATGGGCGGTGAGAGCCAGAACGCTGCCTCCCAGTGAGGGTGGCTGTGACAGCAGATCTCATCACTTCCAGTGTCCTACTGGGTCCTGACAGCTTCCACCAGCTCAGCCAGAGCCCCTTTGTCTTCCAAGTCATCTGCGTGAAGGTGACAGTGGCGCAGGCCCTCTGGTGGGCCTTCCCTCACAGATGCAGTAAGGGACCCCCCACCTTAGGATGCAGGGCAGCCATCTCAATGGCATCCAGGTCACGTGCAGCCTCTGCCAGCTGAGCCACCTGATTCTTCACCAGGGCAATGACAGCATCGACCCTTGCTTGGAGGACAGGTGGTCTCTGGGTGGGGACGTCCTCCTTGCTGGCAGCCTCTGCTTCTCTCGCTTCGTCTCTGGGCTGTCCTTGCAGGCCAGCTTCAGCAGCTGAGTAGCCGTGTGCCAGTCCAGGGGCTGGGTGACAGGTTAATGGCAGGAGGCACTGTCAGCCTCTCACGGAGGAGGGCCCTCTGCCACCGCGGCCAGATGGAGTAGGGCCATTTGACAAAATGTGGGGGAGCCCTTTTGGGCTGGATGTCCTGTCCACTGCCGAAGTTCTCAGGCCTTTGCTCACACGGGATTTACCATCTTCCTGGCCTCCTGCTGCTTTGCAACAGCATGGGCCAGGGCCACCATCTTTCCCTTTTTATTTTATTTATTCTATTTTATTTGAAAGGCAGAACAACAGAGAGGGAGAGAGAGAGGGAGGGAGGGAGAGAAGGAGGCAGAGAGAAAGAGAAAGAGAAAATCTTCCATCTTCTGGTTCACTCCCCAAATGGTTGCAGTGGCTGGAGCTGGGCCAGGCTGAAGCCAGGAGCTCCTTCTAGGTCTCCCATGTGGGTTCAGGGGCATCTACTTGGACCATCTCCCACTGCTTTCCCAGGCACATTAGCAGGGAGCCAGATTGGAAGTGGAGCAGCCAGGACTTGAACTGGCACCCATGCGGGATGCCAGTGTCATAGGCAGCAGCTTTACCCGCTGCACCCCAAGAGAGGCCCCCAGCCTAATTTTCTTGTAGCATCTTGAGTGGCTGGAGGAACAGAATGGCTTTTTAAAAAAGTGTTTTTCTTTTTTTGATTTGAAAGGCAGAGTGTCAGAGAAAGAGGGAGAGATCTTCCATCTGCTGGTTCACTTCCCAAATGCCTGCGACAGCTGGGGCTGGGCCAGACCTAAGCCAGGAGTCCAGAGCTCCATCTCCTACATGGGTGGCAGGGACCCAAGCACTTGTACCGTCGTCTCCTGCCTTCCCAGGTACATTATTAAGAAGCTGGTTTGGAAATGGAGGAGCTGGGACTCGAACCAGCACTGTGATATGAAATGCAGGCATCCCAAGTAGTAGCTTAACCCCCCATGCTGCAGTGCTGGCCCGCCATATAGATCAACTTTCAATCCTCATGTGTTCTTGTTTGAACTGGACAGAGTTGGGAGTATATTATTTTATTTGAATCTCCTCCTGACATAGCATTGTCTAATGTTCTTTGCATATTCATAACTTCTTGAATTAGATTCAGTGCCTAAAGCTGGTTCAGACTTATAGTCATTGGGCCTGTAGGAGTTGGAAAAGTAATTCTAAGGCTTTATTGTTGTTTATTGCTATTGTCATTTTTTTTAAATGTTTACCCATTTTTATTTACTCACTCATAACAGCCAGGGCTGGGGCAGACCAAAGCTAGAGGCCAGGAACTCCACTTGGTCTCCTATGTGGATGCAGCAATGTTGCATTAGCAGGAAGCTGGATCAGGATTGGAGACAGTACTCAATCCCAGGTACTCCAATATGGAATGCTGGTATCCCAAGTGGTAGTGTAACCCACTGTGCCACAATGCCTGTCCCCCCCCTTTTTTTTTTAATTAAAAAGTTTATTTTCTTCTACTTGTAAGAGCAATAGAGAAAGAGAGTGATCGATTTTCCTGTCTACTGGTTCACTCCCCAACATGCCCACAATACTGAGGGCTGGGCCAAGCCACACCAGGATCCTGGGTCTCCCATCTGGGTCTCCCATATGGGTAGCAGGGGCCCAAGTAATTGAGCCATCATCTGCTGTCTCCCAGGTGCATTAGCAGAAAGCTGGATCAGAAGTGTGGAGTAGCTGGAACACAGGCACTCAGATAAGGGATGTGGGCATCTCCAGCAATGGCTTAACTTGCTACACCACAATGCTTGCCCCATTTTTTTTTTTCCACTTTAACTCTAAGGCACCAACAGCCTATTAAAGATATTGATTGGTCCTTAAGCTTCATTTTTTTTTTTTAGATAAGAATGCTTAAAAATATTAGTAGCCTATAGTTGCTTTAATACATCATCTCATTTAGGTCTTTTTAAATCCATGGGCAGTGAAAAGGGACTAAAACTAGACAGGGAGGGCTTAATGAGCTGTAAGTGCACAGCAGGACGCTATGGTAAGTAGTATGTTCCGTGGTTACGTCATCTGTTCTGTACACTGCTACTGGCAGAGTAAGCCACATGATCTCCTGTGCTGGAAGCAAACAAATACATGATGGTTCATTTGTCCAAGAGTAACTCAGGTTTTTAATTCCACAGTCCATTTTTGTAAAGCCACACTGCCTATGCCTCTGCCCTAAGTCTCTTTGCAGGCTGTGTCTTGGCCTGTCCTGTGGCTACAAGATCAGAGTATAGACATTGGGACTGTGATAAATCATTTTTGCTGTTGCTAACAAGGCTCAGCCCAATACTCTGACTCCATGTGGCTGTCTTGGCCCTTCTGGCCCATGCAGTTACACCTGGCTCCTGAGCATAAGGAAAGTCCTTAGGATCAGCATATTTTGGCAATGTGAATATTTATTAATTTAAAAAATGTTCTGTCTAGTTTTGGAAGACAGAAGAGCTCCTATCTGCTGCTTCTGTGCTAAAGTTGGACTGGGGCCAAAGCCAGAAGCCAGGAACTCAATGCAGGTGTTCTGCCTGTACAGCAGAACCCAATTCCTTGAGCAACTGTGCAGTCTCCCAGGGTCTGCATTCATGAGAAGCTGGAGTCAAGAGCCAGAGCCAGGCATCCAACCCAGATACTCTGATGTGGGATATGAATGTCCTTTTTTTATTTTTTAAAGATTTATTTGAGAGAGTTATAGACATAAAGAGGGAGAGACAGAGAGAGAGGTCCTCCATCCGATGGTTCACTCCCCAGATGGCTGAAATGGCCAGGGTTGGGTCATTCTGAAGCCAGGACTCAGTCAATTCTTCTGGGTTTCCCACATGCGTGCAGGGCCCCAGCACTTGGGCCATCTTCCACTGCTTTCCCAGGTACATCAGCAGGGAACTGGGTCAGAAGTGGAGCCAGGTGAGTCTTTTTTTTTTTTTTTTTTTTTGACAGGCAGAGTAGATAGTGAGAGAGAGAGAGAGAGAGAGAAAGGTCTTCCTTTTTGCTGTTGGTTCACCCTCCAATGGCCGCCACGGCCGGCGCGCTGCGGCTGGCACACTGCGCTGATCCGATGGCAGGAGCCAGGTACTTATCCTGGTCTCCCATGGGGTACAGGGCCCAAGCACTTGGGCCATCCTCCACTGCACTCCCTGGCCACAGCAGAGAGCTGGCCTGGAAGAGGGGCAACCGGGACAGAATCCGGCGCCCCAACCGGGACTAGAACCCCGTGTGCCGGCGCTGCAAGGCAGAGGATTAGCCTAGTGAGCTGCGGCGCTGGCCACCAGGCAAGTCTTGAACTGGCACCCATAAGGGATGCTGGCACTGCAGGTGGCAGCTTAACTCACTACACCACAGCGCTGGCCCAGATGTGAGCATCTTAACCAATATCTTAACCACAAGGCTAAACTCCTGAGCCCCTGTTTTTTTTATTATGTGTGTTATCTTAGCTCTTATGGTTTCCTATTGTTCAAGAACACAGAGCAGTCAAATTTTAAGCCATGGTGTATGTTTGATAAGAGCCAAGATTTTTTTTTTAGCAGATTTACTTAAAAATCAAGAAGGCTCTATGTCTCATAATAAAAACAGTCTTGGGGCCGGCGCTGCGGCTCACTAGGCTAATCCTCCGCCTAGCGGCGCCGGCACACCGGGTTCTAGTCCCGGTCGGGGCGCCGGATTCTGTCCCGGTTGCCCCTCTTCCAGGCCAGCTCTCTGCTGTGGCCAGGGAGTGCAGTGGAGGATGGCCCAGGTGCTTGGGCCCTGCACCCCATGGGAGACCAGGAAAAGCACCTGGCTCCTGGCTCCTGCCATCGGATCAGTGCAGTGCGCTGGCCGCGGCGGCCATTGGAGGGTGAACCAACGGCAAAGGAAGACCTTTCTCTCTCTGTCTCTCTCTCTCACTATCCACTCTGCCTGTGAGAAAAAAAAAAGAAACAGTCTTGGAACTGCTGTGTGATCTGTTTGCCCCCACAGTCTACAGAGTGAAAGATATTTTTATGTCAAGAGTTGCCTAAAATTCTGCTCTCTTCTGCGTAATTTGTGTTTTTAGCTGAGAGAAGAAAAGTTACAGGAGGAAAAAACCTCTGAAGATCAAATCCACAAACTGTTAGCAGAGGATACAGAAACAGGGAAGAAGAAAATGGACGAGCAGAGAAAAAGAGATGAGCCGTCAGTCCTGAAAGCAAACCCGGAGCGGGTGAGTGGCTCAGCCTCCAGAATCCGCAGGCGGCCGGGCGACGCGGGCCAGAGTCCGGTGTTGGGGAACTCCGACCCGTGACGCTCACTGACCATGAGCGCAGGGACAGTGGAGAGCTTAGCGCCCTGAGAGAGCTGCAGGAAATGGGCTGGGCATGGGACAGTGAGACCCATGGGAGGATTCAGGGAACAGACTGGGGGAGGTGAGAGGAAAGCTCCTGTCTCATCTACTACTTGTGACAAGTTTTACGTGTGTTTTGTCATTGTGACTTACGTGTTGTTATCTGGCATTTCAGTTCTATATGTCTTACAGCCTCAACTGGATTCTCCTTAAAGCTTACATTTTATCTGCCTTTGTTCTTTGTGGTGCCCTCAGCAGCACAGTGTAGGGCTTTGATATTAGATGCTTAGTCTAACCTTGACCAGGTGTGACTTCCAGTAGGGCCAAAGCTGGCCTGAATTTCCCTCATTACTTATTTGCTAAGTAAATTACTGGGAAAGGTTGTGTGTTGTGTATTCAGCTTACACAAGAAGGTGCTTTTGGAGGCTCCACTACTTATACTCGAATGGTTAATTACAGTTGCATTTTATTTCTTCAGTAAGACACATTGGATTGGACACCCTCTATTACTTGCTGAATGCACTTAACTTAAAGTCTTATCTCTTAAAATATTTTGTTTCAGGTTACCTTTCTGATTAACTGGAATTAATAAAGCTTTACCATATAAAGAGGCAACTTATAGAGTAGGAAAAAATGTCTGACATGTACATTTCAGACAAGTCCTAGTTGTGTAGCCAACGACTTTGGCCCCATTACTTGGTTTCTCTGTGCTTCTGTGTTTTTTTTTTTGTTTGTCTTTTAGATTTATTTGAGTGGTAGAGTTACAGAGAGAGAGAGAGAAATAGAGAGAAAGGTCTTCCATTCACTGGTTCACTCCCCTGTTGGCCACAATGGCTGGAGCTGCGCTGATCCGAAGCCAGGAGCCAGAAGCTTCTTCCGGGTCTCCCACATGGGTGCAGAGGCCCAAGGACTTGGGCCATCTTCTACTACTTTCCCAGGCCATAGTAGATAGCCAGATGGGAAGAGGAGCAGCCAGGACATGAACTGGTGCCCATAGTGGAAGCTGGTGCTGCAGAAGGAGGCTTAGAACATTCATCCGGGAGCTGGCCCCCTGTGCTTCTGGTTTAATGTTTTGCACAGACAATTTCCCTTACCTTCAAAAACTGAAGTGTGTAAGCTCTCTTGGGCTGGTAGTAACCTACCTGCCATGTGCATGTGAGTCCAGTTATAAAATAGCAACAGTAACTTATTTATTATTAAAAGTAACCACTTGCATTTTACAAGGTTTCAACCTTCTAAAAGATTTAATAAGGGTGAGTGTTTGCGTACTCCTAATGCTCTAAATGTTCACCGCAAAGGGCAAAAGACTGCTACTGGGGAGGGTGCCAGTCAGCTGGGGTAGCTGGCGGAAGATGGGTGATGAGCATATGTCTCAGTGTCTCAGTGTGCCCCCTGACCAACTGTCCCACCGTAGCCCATGGTTTCTTTTCTTTTTTTTTTTTTTTTAATTTTTTGACAGGCAGAGTAGAGAGAGAGAGAGAGAGACAGAGAGAAAGGTCTTCCTTTGCCGTTGGTTCACCCTCCAATGGCCGCCGCGGCTGGCGCGCTGCTGCCAGCGCACCTCGCTGATCCGATGGCAGGAGCCAGGAGCCAGGTGCTTTTCCTGGTCTCCCATGGGGTGCAGGGCCCAAGGACTTGGGCCATCCTCCACTGCACTCCCTGGCCACAGCAGAGAGCTGGCCTGGAAGAGGGGCAACTGGGACAGAATCTGGCGCCCCAACCGGGACTAGAACCCCGTGTGCCGGTGCCGCAAGGCGGAGGATTAGCCTAGTGAGCCGCGGCGCCGGCCTGTAGCCCATGGTTTCTGAAGACTGCAGCTCCACCTCTTCACCCCAGAAACACAGACAGAACCACCCAGAAACAGCTTTCTGTTTGGGATAAACCAGCGGTGATGGACCGTGCACCCTTTGCCATGGTCACCGCTCTTTCGGGCCTGGCCAGAACCAGGACTCCTCCGTGGCTGGCCTCTGATGTCAGTTCATGTCGAGATTAAGGAAATTGCTCTCCTGTTTTTCTTCTTTGGCCGCTACGTCTTTGTAAATGAAAGCAAGTGTATCAGCCTAATTTTAATCTTAAGGAGAATCAGGAAGTAGAAATTTTTAGACTCATTTGTTGCTTGAAGCCAGTTTCACACAATTTTCTACGTAAAAACACTCTAATAAAATCTGATGTAAAAACACTTCAACTTTTAGATTTTTGAGATTTTGCTTTTTGTTGTTGCTGTTTTTCAGGACTTCTTTAAGTTTTTGTTGTTGTTGTTGTTTTTAAATGATTAGAGAGGCAGAGACAGAGTGCTCCCATCTGCTGGTTCACTCCCCAAATGCCCACAATGGCTGGGACTGGGCTGGACTGAAGCCCAGGTCTCCCGCGTGGATGGCACCTGCTCAGTTGCTTGAGCCTTCCCTGCTGCCTCTCAGCATCTGCATTGGCAGGAACCGAGCTGTGTGTCAGACCCAGGTACTGCTGTGTGGGACCCGAGTGTCTTACTTACTGGGCTAAGTACTTGTCCCTTTTTCAAGGGTTGTAAAAACTCCATGTCTTACAAGTTTTTGATGTTGAGCTAAAAAACTTCATGTAATTACCCAAAGTTACATTAAACTGGGACCCAAGGGAGTCTCCAGTGGCCTCTGTGGGAAGCCAGTTGAGGGTTAGTTGTTCATTTAGAGTATTATGATTCGAGCTGGGTGGTCCTCTCACTCTCCCACCCCCAAAACTGTAGTGACTCTCCACTTCCTGTGGAACTCAGAACCCTTCCTCTGTGTGAGTGTAGTGTGTCTGTCCATCATCGCATAAACCTCAGAACTCGCGGGGGCAGAGTGGTTTGCTCTCCCCCAGTCATCCACTCTGGGCTTTTTCCTCCTGAAGCCATTGCTGTTGCATTTTCAACCCATTGCAATGCCAGCCCGCTCAATTGCTGAAGGGCTGCCCTCTCTCCATGTCCATGGAACCTGCAGGGATTCCTCCACTCTGATCATCCACTCTCCCTTCCTTCCCCCTACTTCGTATCTTTTTTACAGGGATTATTTTATTCTCTCTCTAATTGTAGTTTTGTATGCATGTGTATTTGTGTTTCTCTGTTAGACAGTAAGTTTATGGAGTATAGGAGATGTGTCTTACCCATTTTAAAATCTCCTGTAGTGCCTTGCACCTTATAAAGATTTGATACATGTGAAATGAATCCCAGTGGAGGGAAGAAGGAGTTTATTATAGAAGTCAAGAATGGAAATACCACAGGCACAGGACCATTTGCTGTGGCACAATTAACTCAATAATATTAATGTAAGTTCTTAGAACAAGCCATTATAGCAAGTATAGTTATATTAAAGATTATAAAGCAAAATGAAAAATTACTTGTCACTGCCACATCTTAGAAATAATCCTTGCAAACAGTTTGGTAAATATACTTCCAGCCAGATTTATTCCCTAGTCACATGGACAAGGGCTTCAAAAGCTTCATGAAAAATAGAATTGAAAGATAAATTTATTTTGGTGCAAAAATGTTTGAAATCCATGCATAGTGTTTGCATAATAGGCATTTTCATGATCTGTTAAATACAGTTTTTTACTTATTTGAGAGGCAGAGAGAGAGAAGCAGTGTGTTCCCATCTGCCGGTCTGCTCCCTAAATGTCCATGACAGCCAGGGGGCTGGGCCAGGGCTGAACACAATCCAGGCCTCCATATGGTAGAAGGAACCCAAGGACTTGCGTCATCACTGCTGTTTTCCAGGCCCAGCGTTAGCTCCTGGGGTCAGGAGCCAGAGTTAGGCATCAAGCTCAGGCATTCTGGGTTTGGGTGTGGGTGTCTTAACCACCCACTCCACCACAGACATTCTGAAGTACACTCATACATACACATGATACTAGTATATTGTTTCCTTTTCAAAAAATGCACCCTAGTCATACTGCTTTATGACCTGTTTTTAGTTAACTCTAAATCATGGATAGCTTTCTATTTAAGTAAAGAATCCACATTATTTAGTGGTCTCCTAGCATTCTTGACTTTAGAATATATTTAACTGATTAATAACCTATTGATATTTTGCTAACATAAACACCACTGTGATGAAAATCCACTTGTTTCATTAATTCCTTAGAATAAATTAACCAGAAGTAGAATGCCAATGTCAAAGGTAGTATCCTTTTTATTTTATTTTTTAAAGATTTATTTATTGAGAAGCAGAGTTAGAGAGAGAGAGAGAAAGAGAGAGAGAGAGAGGTGTCTTCCATCCGCTGGTTCACTCCTCAGATGGTCACCATGGTGGAGCTGTGCTGATCTGAAGCCAGGAGTTTCTTTTGGTCTCCCATGTGGGTGCAGGGGCCCAAGCACTTGGGCCATCTTCCACAGCTTTCCCAGGCCATAGCAGGGAGCTGGATCAGAAGTGGAGCATCCGAGACCCGGAACCAGTGCCCCTGTGGGATGCTGGCACCTGCAGATGGAAGCTTAACTTACTGCACCACAGTACCGGCCTTTTAACAGTTTGGGTATTTATTACTCGGTTGCTTTCCAGAAATCTTGCATATAATTATACTCTCACTAGTAGTACTAGAGAGCACTAAACTAGTTTCCTCACACCTTATCTGAAATTTTTTTTAAGTACTTCAGGGATTTCATGTATGCATATTTTGTACCATTTTCGGAGTCCTTAGTGCTATAAGCTTATTTTTACCCACGGTGAATGATGAGAGGTAAATGTTGTCCTGTCTTATGGTTCTAGGTTTTGTGGAGTAGAAACCTAGAGGGGTGGGTTAGCTTTTGTCCAAATAATCAGTTGTTGTTATTATGCGACTTCCAATAATTAAAAGGAACTTGGCATGTATCTATTATAAAGCCAACATTTTTCCTAAAACCTTAATAGTATTCAAGTGAATACAAATAAAATCACTGCTTGTTTACTGATGCAGTCCGTGCTTCCAATGGCTACGGGCATGGCTGAAGGAGGCAGAACCATCTTTATTTTAAAGGTGAGGAAGCAGAGGGTCAGAGAGACAAAGCCCCAGCCCCACAGTGAAATGGCAGCCAGGCATCAGAGCTGGGATCTTAGCACTCTTGTACATGGTACTGCGTTGATTATGAAGAGGCCTAAAAGGAGAGAAACTGCCTTCATCTATCTCCTATTGAGTGTTTTGGTCCCAGACTTTTTTGTTTATCCCCAGGGTTGAGAAGAGAATCATAGGAAGTTTGGCGATGGGTTAGTGCTGTTGAAGTTTCTCCAGTGAGTATTTTGTAGGGTTCTCTAAAGAGTGGACAGGCTTCTCTGTGGGCTGCAACCCTTCACCTCCCACTCACAGGCAGCTGTCAGGGGAGTAACGGTGCGGGAGGAACAAAGGGACACTGACCTGACGCCTCGCCTGTCCTCTGTCTCTACAGCTTCCACTTTGATAACCACTTGATCGTTAGATGACTGGTTAATCATTAGATGTTTATTGTTTACCTACTATGTAATGGTAAAGACAGTCTCTTGTGTTTCTGTACACAGAGTTTATTTTGTAAAGCATGATACAGACCTCTAAATAAGAAGCTAAATTCAGTGTGATTAGTTCCTACCTATATGGAAAGAAAAAGATTCTCATATTGAAACACCAGGCAGAACCTCACTAAATGTTGTATGTAAAAGGCATAAATATACTAAAACATACAAAAATGTAAATTGAAAGATTAAAGAAAGGGACTCCAAAGTAAAATGAGGATCAATGAATGGGAAAAGCTGATTCTAGGGGGATTTGGAAGCCTTCCCAGTGGAAGTGATGTTCAAGATGACTCTGAAGAGTGAGTGAGTGTGTCACAGGCAGAGAGTGCACACCGGGGCCGCAGGCAAAGCCGACAGGTACTGGAGGACATTGGGGCCGCAGCTGGGCTGTACGGAGCCCAGAGGGTTCTGTGTGTGGGAACTGATGGGAGGAATGTGACCGAAGGCTGGGGCAAACGTGAAGGCTATTCAGCCGTGTTGAGGTTCCGTCTTTATCCTGAAGCCACTCCCAGCTAAGCCAGGTACTGACAGGATTCTGTTTATGTGCTGGAAAGATAATTCTTGGTAATATGAAGAGTACTGAGCGAAGAAAACCTGAAGAGAATGAAACCACTGAGTGGATTGTTGAAACAGGCGGGAGATGATGAGACTCTAAGGTAGGATGCTGACAGTGAGTCGAAGTGGGAAGATTAAATCTGAGACATCTTAGAGCAGAGTGGAAACAGTCTGGAGATAATTTGGAGAATGATGCTCTGAATTTACAATCAACCTTATGAGTTTATTAACTCTATAATCATAGGCAGATTAAGCACTCTGAGCCTCAATTTTCCATCTGTAAAAGTTAATAATCTCTGCTTTCAGTGGAACTGATATAAAGAACAAATGAAATAAAATATGTAAAAGTACTAAGGTATACAAAACTGCTGTGCAAATGTTATTGTGACTTAGAAATAAGGGAAAGAAAAGAGTCATAGATGGCGTGGAGGTTTCTGGACGGCTCAGTGGTCGTGGGGCTTGGCAGTTGGAAACCTACGTTGGGACACAGAAGAGACTTAGATCTGAAACTGCATGTGGAATAGATTCCCTGGGAATCCCAGATGGACAGTGTTGACTCCCTTGTCTCCTCACCAGTGTCCTGCGCGCCTCTCAGACTCAGAGAATGAAGAACCTTCTCGTGGCCACTTGACCCAGACGCATCGCTCGGCATTTGTTTCCAAGACCAACTCCTACTCCTTAGCTTTCCTGGCAGGGTAAGAGGCTGATCCTGGATTCAGTCAGGGTTCTTTCACTTTGGGGGTGTGAGATCAAAGGGCCTGGGGGAATGAAGGTATTTGTTGTTGCTACTTTTGGGGGAGGTGGAAGAAGGGGAAAGAGATGGGAACTGATTTTCAAATATGGGTGAGGCAGAAGTGGCTGATCTGAATTTTTAAAGTAGCATTTACCCATTTCTGACATCCTCAGGATAGGACTGCGTAATATCTCTGCTGCAAAGTATGAACCTTTTATCTTGAGGGAAAAGACAATCTTTAGTCTGACAATACCCATGGACTCTCGCTGTTGACTTTAAAATCTAGTAGGCAGTAAAGCCAGTGCATAGACCTAAGATTTCCCTGCATGGATTTCAAGAAGGCAAACTGAACAGTTTTGGAGACCCCTGTCAACGAAGCTCTTGGTCCTTTCGACAGTGGAGGCCCCGTGGAGGGAGGAGGGAGGCGCTGAGTGAACACCGAATGCTGGGAGGGTAGCGCAGGGCTAGATGGAAGAGGTGGGGGGAGGAATGGGAGTGGAGGGAGGAGGGAGGGGTCATGGACTCATTGCTTCGTTCTGCACACGTTTCTGGAGCAGCTAGCACAGGCCCTGCTGGCGCAATTCACCTCAGCCTGGGGTTCAGCGCCTCCTCCCCCACCCACCCCACACCACGTGGCACAATCTCTCTCTCTTGCTGCCTTCAAGGACACAGACCTAGACCCTTCCTGTGCTCTACAGGATTTACCTCAAGTCACTCATAAATAAGATGAAAAGCAGCTAGGAATTTTAGAAACTGCTTCCTTTTGTGATCCCTGGCATATGTCTATTTCTGAATCCTTCTGTGTGTGTTCTTGTGGAGCAGTTTGGTTTTTCCTTTGTCATTTCTGAGAGCAAAATTCACGGTATCTCCCTCTCTCTTCAATGCTCACCCTCCAGTGGTGGCAGCCCCTGCTGCAGGCAGGCCCTCCCACATCTGCACGGTGACACCTGTTGAATGGCCCTGTGTTGTAGCAGCTTAGGCGTCATGTAATCAGTCTTTCCATTCATGATCAAGATAGGACTCGCATTGTGTGATGAACTTGAACTATAGAGGCCCTCTAAAGTAAGAACAACAACAAAAAAACAAGATTGCTCGTCAGGATGTGAGCTCCTGATGGTGTATATGGAGATGCCCAGTTACAATGGGTATAGTTAGTGATTCTAGGAGGGATTTTCTGAAGAGAGAAAGATCGAAACCATCCATTCCAATCAAGTCACAGTGAATACTCTCCAAAGCCAATAAATATTGCTTTACAAACATTAATTGATATCTCAATACTAAATAACTTGGGAAAGTAAATTTGTTAAAATCTGAATACAATGCCAAGAGAAATTACTTACTCCAGTTAGTTGCAGTGGATACTGAACGGGTTGAATTACTTATCACCAATTACAATCCCTACTCTTGTAATTCACTCTCTTAAGGCAGAGCAGGGGTGGGTGATGGGTAGCAGATTAATATGTCATTACTTAAAAATGCCTAGCAAGGGCCGGCGCCGCGGCTCACTAGGCTAATCCTCCGCCTTGTGGCGCCAGCACACCGGGTTCTAGTCCCGGTCGGGGCGCCGGATTCTGTCCCGGTTGCCCCTCTTCCAGGCCAGCTCTCTGCTGTGGCCAGGGAGTGCAGTGGAGGATGGCCCAAGTGCTTGGGCCCTGCACCCCATGGGGGACCAGGATAAGTACCTGGCTCCTGCCATTGCCAACCGCAGCGGCCATTGGAGGTGAACCAACAGCAAAGGAAGACCTTTCTCTCTGTCTCTCTCTCTCACTGTCCACTCTGTCAAAAAAAAAAAAAAAAAAAAAACTAGCAAGGAACTCTGAAAAGTTCTAATGGGTGAAATGGAAAAGCCTGTACTGAGGAGTGTGTTCTGAATCTTGTGTGTCTCTGCTACCTCCTTCTTTGCCTGCTCCTGGTCCATCCCTCCCCTTCCTCTTGTCATTGAACCACAGTGGGACTCATTAATAGAATGTTCACTTTAGATTTTATTATTAACAAGTGGTTGCAATCAGCACTACATATATATTTTATATGTTTGTAACATACATATATAAAATATACGTATTTCTAGGGTTCAGGGTTCATTTTCAAATCTTTAAAATATCCAAAGTTGTGGGCTGAGTTCAGTTATTAGTATAATTATTAAAAGAGTGACTTGGATTTAGTTGGTATAGTAAGATTTTTAGGAGATAGTTTGCTGATGTCATGGAACATTAATTATGGTAATTGTGATATGTATCTCTGATTTAGAATATGCCTTTTCCTTAGATATGAAAATACCAAGTTTCAACTCCAAATTATATTTAGGAAAACAATATAGAATGGTTAGTACTGACAATGAGATGTAGCATGTGGATATATTAAAAAAGAATTAGCTTGGTGATAATTGTACAGCATGTAAGTGTATATGTAATATGATTGAAAGACCAATTTTATGTTAAGTATATATTACCATGATAAAAAATTAACATTGTTTATAGTTTTTGGATATTTCATATTTTTTCTATTAAGCAACAAGAGAATACATTTTCTATGCAAGTTCTTTTCCTGAAAGAGTTCATATTTAAGTCAAATGAGTCTGCCATTTGTTTTTCTTATCTACTTTATAAAAACATGGAGACAAGTGAACAGGTGTGATGATGGGCTGGTTAAGTTGGAAGGAGACAGATGAACAGGTGTGATGATGGTGTGGTTAAGTTGCATGGAGACAGGTGAACAGGTGTGACAATGAGATGGTTAAGTTGTGTGGGGACAGGTGAACAGGTGTGACAATGAGATGGTTAAGTTGTGTAGAGACAGGTGAACAGGTGTGATGATGGGGTGGTTAAGTTGTGTAGAGACAGGTGAACAGGTGTGATGATGGGGTGGTTAAGTTGTGTGGAGACAGGTGAACAGCGTGAGTGTCGCGATGCCTAAGATTGTGTTGAAGACAGGATACCGGACTTATGTCGTGTTCATATGACCAGGGTGGAGTTTATGGAACAAGAAAACAAATAATGGCCTGCCTTAATTCGAATGCAGACCTGC